GTAGCGTAGCGCAGGCTACACGTGCGTCGTATTACTGCACCAGTGACCCTCAAATTGGTCGACAGAGTCGGATAATAAAAGGCAGGTACCTCTGAAGTAACTGGCTTGAAGTTTGTACAAGGTGTATAGAACTCTGGTAAAACCGCTATTTGACCACCATTCTTCAGGTGATGAGGGGTCCTTGAGTGTCTCACAGGGGCCTCGACAGGACCCCGCTCCTTGGCGGCGTTGTCGGAGTTGGAAGCGCGCCATCCCACGACGTGGCGGAAACCACTGCGCCACAGGGGTGCTCCTTCATTAACAGTATTGTGGCTTGACGTCCGAGGAACCGTCCTACATTAGATGGAGTTGCGGCAGCAAATCCCCGAGCTCGACGGAGGTCCCACTCTTGACCTAACAATCAACATCGGCACCTCTGTTGTTTCCCCGACTCAGACTGCAAGGAATCTGGGTGTGATCCTAGATAACAAACTGTCCTTCACTGCAAACATTGCTGCTACAACCCGCTGCTGCAGGTACACGCTTTACAACATCAGGAGGATACGTCCCCACCTGACCCAGAAAGCAACGCAGGTTCTGGTCCAGGCTCTCGTCATCTCACGCCTATACTACTGCAACTCCCTCCTGGCTGGTCTACCTGCATGTGCCATCCGACCTCTGCAGCTCATCCAGAATGCAGCGGCTCGTCTGGTCTTCAACCTTCCTAAATTCTCCCACACCACGCCGCTCCTCCGCTCCCTTCACTGGCTTCCAGTAACTGCTAGTATCCACTTCAAGACACTGGTACTTGCGTACCATGCTGTGAATGGATCTGGCCCTTCCTACATCCAGGACATGGTTAAACCATACACCCCAGCACGTGCACTCCGCTCTGCATCAGCCAAACAGCTCGCTGCACCCGCACTGCGAGGGGGACCCATGTTCACCCATCAGCAAAAACACGTGGGTTTCCTATCCTGGCTCCAAAATGGTGGAATGAGCTCCCCATTGAAATCAGGACAGCAGAAAGCTTACACATCTTCCGGCGCAGACTGAAAACTCATCTCTTTTGACTCCACTTTGAGCGATAGAATTACTAACAAAGAACTGCTAACAAAGCACTTACTGATAAAGGACTGGCTTATCTAAAGCCAGTTGAGTAGCACTTGAAATGTTTGGCTCTCTGAAACCTGATGTACTTATATGATTCTGTTTTCTTCAAGTTTGTATCTTCCTGGTCGAATGCACTTATTTTAAGTCGCTTTGGATAAAAGCGTCAGCCAAATGCAATGTAATGTAAATGTAATGTAATGATGACGTCTCATTTAGACACTTGTTGTCAACCGCTGTTTTTAAGACACAAAGAAGTTTCCGACCTTCACCAGTGGGATATTTACTGATGTGTTTTGTGTCGTAGAAAGAAAACGTGAATTCAAGTGAATAGCCAGATAAACGCTCAAAAAACAGTTGACTTCAAGACAAGCGAAAGTGGTAAAATACCAATTTATTTCCGGGATTAAGGATTTATTTCTGAACTATTCTATCTCGTTACTTCCCAAGCTTGGTGATGCGTTATAGTGCCCTGGGGAAAGATGGTAAAGAGTGTAAATCCCAGGAGAGAGATAACTAGATGGAAAGGTCGAGAAGCTGATAGACACTCACTTCACACACACACACACACACACACACACACACACACACACACACACACACACACACACACACACACACACACACACACACACACACATACATCCCCATAATTAGCATGCTAGCAGGCATTTAAATGTCCCACACAAAGGCTCACTGTTGCTCACTTGGGAGACAATGCACAAAAGGAGTCAGTGGGAGCCCCCAAATCACCCTAATAACCCAGCGTGGATTCCCAGTTTTTTTTTACCATTCCACCGATCACACTCATTCACTCACTCACTGGTTGGCTAATGAAAAGATGATAGCCTCGAGGCCTGCAGTCAACCAGCAGCTTGCCCCTTCCTCCTCATTTCCCCCTTCTTCATCTTTTCCTCCACCTCTCCGGTTCTCCTGAGGTTCAGAGGTCCCAAGTTTGGTGCATGGGAACATCCACCGAATGACTGACGGACAGACAGGGGATGGAGGATCTGTAATTAAATGAAGATCAAGACCATGAGGGGAATTATCTTAGTTTTTTAACTTAGATTTTAACTTGATTACAATCTGGACAGAAAGGATTTGATTATGGGATAGGAACTCATAATGAGTTATAATTGGAGATACTTTACATATTGTAAGGAAAGTACACAGCTGTGAGTGCTTTCAGCCAAAAAACAGTCCTATAGATATCCCATCATTTGAACACATCAGGGCGTGCAATAAGCTGCTTTGGGTTCATCAAGGCTGCAAGGAGGTTTTAGGGACCAACTCAATCTCTCTTTGCCAACAAATATTTTTAGGATCTGTAATCCTACACCCCAAATACAGCAACAGGTGAACATGAAGCACAGGTTTAAAATGGCTGAAGAGTTTGCAGGAGGAGTCACTTATAAAGAGGGGTTAATTCTCACCGAAACCCGTGTCAAGTTCCTCAGGACTCTTTTATTTCAAGCAGCACCTGATACATGCAAGGGAGTCACTGCACATTATAATTCCCCTGATGGGACCTTCCACCTGTCAACAAATCCGATGTTAGGGAGTTTGAGGGGTCTTCAGTATCTCTCTTAGATTCTTCCTCATCTTCTGGGTCTCCCGCTAAAAGTAACCAAAGCTCCAAAAATTAAGATAGGGAGAAAACTCAGACCTTAACATCTCAAAGGAACATTATTTAGTTCAACCTATCCAGAACATTCACATTGTTTTTTAGGCACTCCTACAACACAATAAACTAGTGGGGGTTAAAAGGCTCATCTGACTATTTTTGTATGGATTATTGATCACATCTTGATGTCTTTTTCTCAAAAATATTCTTGAATTTCATGAAACAATCTTGAATTTAGAGTCTCATGATCAATGTTTAAGCTCTCCTCTGTTTCCACATCTCGCCACTAGAGGGAACTTGAGTCAGTGAGTTTTGTTGTAAAGGCTCTCTGATAGAAATGGCTGCAGAGGCATCTAGTGGCTCTGGAGCTCCAACACTCATAACTGGATTAGAAAATAGTTTTTTCTCACGGGTTCAATCTTCAACCAGGTTTCCAAAAGGAGAAATCAACTACAATTATTTACATTTTTATTTACAACATTAAAAGGTAAACAAGTAGGAATAAAGTGCGTTTTGTGAAGTGAACAAAATGTACTTTGATGTATATTGATAACACGTATACTCCTTTTTAGTATATTTGATCTAATACAGGTCTTGGTTACTACTAAATGTAAAATGACGCTGAGCTTGTTAAAACACTATTTCCAAACGTAGCTTTGTTTTTAGAAGGACTAAGATATTTAAAAATAACATTTAAAAATGTAGTGATTTTTAAATCGCATTAAATCAAGGCATTTGTCAGAAATGAAGTCTACTAACTTCATGGAAATACTCCTGCTACAATTAGTGACTAAACTTGAAATGGTCCTGAAGTGCTAACTGTACAGCAAAAATAACATTGCTATTGCTATTGTAATCTAAATAAAGTATATACGATTTACAGGAAGAAGTGCAAAAAGCAGACTCTACAAGAAACTGTATGTGTAACAATCATTGAATGTCATAATCAACATGAAGGTTATCAAGCGTAATTTAAACAGACTTTGATTAAACAGTGCATCTGTAAAAATGTACACTTAAAGTCTTGTCTTAGTCCTCTTAATAAAATGAAGATACATCAAAACTGAAATTACTTTCATCAAATCTCCGGTTTACTTTTGCTATGTCAAAAACACATCCAGTAAAAAACAGGACTTTTACTGTCATTGTGCTTTCCTGTTGTTATGCAATCATAATAAAGGGCCATTAGCACAGAATCAGTTGGGTTGCTTATAACAGATCTTCAAGGAATGCAGTGGCCAAAGGTATTTAGGAATATGCAGAGTGTTTTTTCGTAATTTCTAATCTTAATGAAAAGAGAAACCATTTCCTCAACAACACTGGCAAGGCAACATTTGACAAACCATCTGTATGTTCAATCTAAAGCTGAACACGCCACCACACAATCCTTCTTCAGGTCTATGTAGTTCTAGGGTTTGTGGGTGAATACAAAGTTCGATACATGACAACCTTCAGGTCTCTTTCTCGCTCTTATAGGTCACTGGATCAAGGGGGACTGCAGTCTGCAGGATGTCAAACTCCATCTGGTTATTGTCCATGTCCAGAACGCACATGACGCTGCGACTGCCTGATGTCCTGGTCGCAGTGTCCTGGAACATATGTTGTAGGTCTACCGAAACTGAACTGTCCTCTGAACTCTGGGCATCAAAGACCTCATCCTCTTCCTCTCCACAGCTCAATGCCACCTCGTTCTCGTAACAGAAGGCGCTCAGCGACCTGGTAATCAGGTATTGCTTGGTTCTACAAGTAGAAACCGGAGAAACGGCAGAAGAGGCCGTAGTCGTGGCCTTGTCGAGTTCTTTGGCGCTGAGATGGGGTGTGGACGGCACCTCGTAGGTCTGGTGGAATCTAGAATAGTCTACTTTGTAGCGGTCCTCATCCTCGTAGATCACGGGCTCAAACCTGTGACCCCATAAGACCTCTCTGGCAAGGAAGGAGCTACGAAACTGTGTGGTCATGGCAGTCGCCTCCACCATCCCCTCCAAGATCACAATGATCTCAAAGTCATCCGTCTCCAGATCAGCTCGATTTAAGGAATACAAGGGGCTTTCTCTATCTATCTCGTGGATTATGACCAGTGGGGATACTAGAAACAGCCGGTCTGTTCCCTTATCGTAGCCAACGTTGAGGTCCATCTGCTCCAAGGGGATGAACTCACCTTCTTTGGTAACGTATGAACGTATGAGCATTGCGCGGACATGAGCCTCCACAATGTGGCTCTTACGCAGGTTGCCCACCCTCCACATGAGGCACAGCTTGCCGTCTCGCAGGGCGATGACAGCATTCTTGGAGAACACAAGAGTCTGGTTTCTCTTTTTAGGTTGTGCCATCTTTGCCATGATTGTGCCTATCATGAAAGAGTCGATGATGCAGCCCACTATGGACTGCACCACCACAGTTAGTACAGTGACGGGGCATTCCTCGGTAACGCAGCGCAAGCCATAACCAATGGTGGTCTGGGTCTCCATGGAGAAAAGGAGCGCCCCAACAAAGCCATGGACATGAAGTATGCAGGGCGTTTTTAGAGTCTGCGCTCTGTGCGATACCCCATCATCGTTCACCCTTGGTTGCTCCTTAAAGTCCCCATGTACCAGCGAGACACTGTAGAAGATAATCCCAAAGACAAGCCAGGAGACCAGGAAGCTGCCGCAGAATATAAGCAGCAGGTATCTCCAGCTGATGTCCACACAGGTGGTGAAGATGTCAGCTAGGTAGCGCTGCCTCTTTTCATCCATGTTGGTGAATACAACATTACATTGTCCATTTTTCTTTACAAACCGGTTCCGTGTTTGGTTGGTGCCCCTCGTGAATATCTTAACGTTGTTCATTCCTCCTCGTCCACACGGAGCTGGGTACGGAAACCCAACCTCCTCTTGCTGTGTTTGGTCTCTACGTCGTAGGGCGAGTGCAAACTGAAGATGAACTTTGGCCGTTATCGAGACCTAAGCTGGAGATCTCCTGGCGTACGTCCTCTGGTAGAATGCCTGAACCAATGCTGTACCTGTCAGAACAACAGAACAAGTGAGATTGGGAGGATTAAAAACATTTTTGGTGACATTAGATGCAAACAACTTTGGATATTAGAATGTTTATTGCCAAGTTAGGAAATCAATTTGGTTATGTACACTGCATTGGGTTATGTACACTGCATTGGGTTAGGAGGCTTATTATGCCTACTTTCAGGTTCTCAGGGTTAGAGTTAGGTTTAGGTTTAGGGTGGGGATGCTTGCTGCAAAAACTGTAAAAATGGGGGCTTTCACTAAAGCCAGTTTCCATGGGAACAAGTGTCTGGTGGCATTTGGTGGACGGAGAGAAATGGAGAGAGTCATCAGAGAAACGTGGTGAAAAAGGGACCAGTACACAGTATTAAGTGCTCTTATAGCATGAGTCATAGAGGGAAGGATGGAAGAACGGTCATAAGGGCAGCGATGCATCACTAATATTAGATTTTAAATAAGTTGCAAGAGGTGACTCTTATTGGAGACTTTTCTGAACCATTTTAATGCGTGAAAACCTCACTGAGGGTAGGAGTGATCTGTTAACTAAATCTTTAAAAAATGTATTTTGAAAGGCCTTTTGTATTTTTATTCTATTCCAAATGATTTACCCAAGGCTCTCTACTTATATTTGATTTACAGAAACACATTTGAAATATCACAGGTTTTAACCAACTTGCAATTAAGACCTTTTTGTGTTGTGCAAATACTTGTGCATAAATGATTAATCTATTAGTTAATTGACAAAAATGTATTAACAACAATTATGGGAGTTAATGAATGTTTTATGTGCAGGATCTCGTGACATCAAGTGGTGAGTTTACAGATTGCACCTTTCTGAATACTTTCCACTCACCACTCCCTTCACAAGCCTCTTGGAGAACCTGCATAACAATAAGCTTAATTATGAGTTATTAAACTGAAGGGACAAAGCTAGCCCAAGCTTTGGACCCAAATAGACAAGGTTAGTTAAATCAACACCTGGATGTATTATACATGTTTTCTTTCCACTGGTCTGAAAGAAGAAAGAAGCAAAAAAGCCCAAACTCTGTGACCAGTGCATGAACTTATCATTTTAAAGCCTGGAGTAATTATGCAGAGTGGTCTGAGTCATATCTGGTCATTCAAAGTACATTTAAACTACCAGATACAAGCAAAGCCTTATCATGCTTTTTCTAAATCTAATTGACTCTAAATGATTGCGATAAAAAAAGAACCTTGTTACATAAATGTAATTTTTCAATGTAAGCACGTGTTTCCTAAATAATGATGACATTCAGTGAAGGACCTGCTTTGTGTTGGGACTCGGGGACTGTGGACGATTGTTTTGTGTCAGTCATTCGGGATATTTGTGTGAGTCTTTTCAGGTTCGCTTCACTTCCTCCTTTTTGCTTTCTATGAAAAACTAGCCATCTGAAAACGAATCAATACTTTTCCCTGATTTCACCTCTGCTTGTCATGAGCCAACCCACAGAGGAGTAAGTGCAAAGAATGATTATTCCCAAGCTACAATCATCACAAACCGGACGACCCTTGTGTTGGCCTCATTTCAGATTCTTGTTTTGTCCATGTGGTATCATTTTAAACTTGGGAAAACATATTATATTTCCACGTTCATGTAGAGCATTCTTAACATGTCCAGATGACAGCTTTTTGAAGTAAACATATATGATACTCCAACATCAACATTTATTTTTATGCTAGGTGAAAGATTCACGTTACTGTATTAGCCTCCTTGGACATGTGTTTGTATTTCCATCTGAACACACAGACAGAGGAAGGCTGCAAACATTTCAGTGTATCATTATTATTATTATTATTATTATTATTTCAGCACCTCACTGAGTTTTCTTTTGACTGTCACTTGTTCAATCAATATAATACATTTTATTTGTAGGTATACAGTTTTTGGGCTGAATGGTTTTAGGCTGATTGCTGACTTTAAGAGTAGTTCCAAATGTCAAAGGTCCAACATTTGAAAATAAAGGAGAGATTTCTGGGCATGTAACATGTCAAACAACATCAGTATGAGTTTGATGATCATGTGCACCAAGGTACACCTGGTGTATCATGTTTCCAGGTGATGCATTTGTCATCCTCACCAGGTATTTTCAGTGACAAAGAAGTGTATCTGCACTTAATCACAACAGTCATCTGGAGTTCATAGTACAAATAAAACATTTGTAACAAAATCATGAAGTTGTTATTGTTTTTATTTTCTGATACTGAAATAGTATTTGAATCATACTCACCCTATCAAATAGTTTCCTGTCACTTTGTTCTCAAAATGTCACATTCACTGTCCAGGGTAAAGGTCCCAAATCCACTCTTTTAGTTCCTTTGTCATCTCTTCTTCATTCCTTTATCCCTGTTGTCAAGTCCATCATTGTCTTCTGCTGCCTCCTTTGCTGAATATAGTCCTGTCTGTGTCTCGTTCTATACGTATTCACTTCAGGCTGAAAATGCTGTGTCAATCTCTGCAGAGGGTTTAGAAAGGAGGGAGGGATGGATGAGGAGGGGAGAGAAATGAATAAAAGAATGAGGAAAACTGGAGGAGTGGGTCTGCCTCTTTGTCTGTAATGTGTAGGAGTTGAGTACTGCCTGGTGTACTGTAAGCTCGTTTGAGTCATGTGTTCTATTTCCAACCTCTCTTCGAGAAAGAACAGAGATGATACTGAAACAGATGGAAGACAAAAACAGTCTGGGGGCTTGGAGATGAAGGGCTTGCATCTCCATCATGCATGGTTTGAAGCTGAATCACCAGGACTGTTGCAATAATATAGGACTATACTGTAAACTGGCCTGTAAACACAAATCCCTGTTGCATTCACTCCAACACAGTCCAAACCCCATTCTCCCACAGCTCTGTTATTACATGTTAAATGCCACATCAACGCAGAGGATACACAGGGAAGAAGACAACAAGGTTTCAACATCAGTGGGAGTGTTTCTGCCTCTCTCATTGTCACTGAATTGCAATTTAATATGAAGTGTTCTGTTGTTGCAGAGGGCTTCCTCTCACATATTGGATCTCTCCATTATAAATGCAAATAGGGAAGGTCATTCTTTAATTTCCCAATGGGAGAGTGCAGTGTTATGGTAATCTAAAGTGAGTCACCTCCTGGTAAGAACTGAACAGTAAAGAAGTAAGAACAAACTTTACCTTTGGTGTTATTCAATGGAGAATAATAAAGTATCACAGTATAGTATATCAATAAAATAATTGTCTGTTTCTTCTTCTCATCTCCATACTATTATTCATGTATTCTTATAGTCTGATGAATTAGATTTCACATGATATGAACACTTCTGGTTGAGGAAATGCTGAAATGAATACACTGTGTACTCTAAGTAGGTTGGTGTGCCTCCTCACTTCTCTGCATCACAAGAGATATACAGTGTCTGTGCTGAGAGCATTGTCTCTGTAATCTCTCTACTTCACTGCATCAAACATAATATAAGTAGGATGCAGAGGAGCAGGATGTGTGAGGGAAGTTTGCTACTTTTTGTTGGAATAAGAGGGAGGACGAAGTGGGATTTTATAAGAGAGGAGACCAGGGGCGGTTTTAGGGGGAGGGGCAGGGGGGGAGAGTGCCCCCCTAACACTGACTTTGGACCCCCTGTGGCCCCCCTGAAAATGAAAAAAAAAATAGTTTATGATTAAACGATTCCCTGGCTGACGGAATAGGCGGAACTAACGATATTTTTCATTCTAGTCGGACCCATTAGAGCAGGGGTCTCCAACACGTCGATCGCCAGCTACCGGTATCTCGCAAGCCCTCAATAGCCCCCACTTTACAAATATGTTTATTTTTTTAACGCAAGCCGTCATCGCCACGGAGGAGCACACAGCCTCTGTGAGCGAGCGAGACAGAGAGAGAGAGAGCACACCTTTATCTAATATAGTTGTAATAAATAAAGTAAGAAATCATTCCAATGTGTCCTATAGGACAGTAAAAAAAAAAAAGTTTAAAAAGGGAGTGATTAGTCAAATATGCATAAATAAAAAGAAAGAATGCTAACTAGGTAACATAAGACAAGAATAAACAAGTTTAAATGATTTGTTATTGGATGTGATCATATTCTAAAGATGTTTGTACTATTGAAAAGTATACAGCTTTCTTTCATCTGAGTGTTGAGAGCTGTATCCATAAATTCATTTTGTTCTCAAAGTGCACCAGATTGATGCATTTAACTTCAACATTTAAAAAAGTATCTTCCCGGGGCTGCATGCCCCCGGACCCCCCTAGAGGAGTTGAGGTCCACCCCCAATCAAAGCAGGTTAAAATAATTAAATTGCATACATGTTATTTTAGTAAACACTGAAAACGGGTCCCACAGACCCAAACAGCTCATAAAGGTTAAAGGTAAGCATATAATAATGTGTAATGAAACAGATACATGTGGGGAAGGCGTGTGGCGCAGTGGATAGACCCTTGGTGTTGGGACAAGGGGAGCACAGGTTCAAACCCCACTGCAGTCAGCATGTCGTTGTGTCCCTGAGACACTTCACCCCAAATTGCTCCTGTGTATTGAATACACAGGAGCAATTTGGGGTGAAGTGTCTCAGGGACACAACGACATGCTGACTGCAGTGGGGTTTGAACCTGTGCTCCCCTTGTCCCAACACCAAGNTGGCTAAAATGCATGATCTGTTTGGTATTTTGAAAAATATGGCCCTACAATATATTATTCAGCTCCAGCTCATGCAAAGACAGAGCTGGAGTGAGGCAAAATGAGGCATGGCTAAAATGCATGATCTGTTTGGTATTTTGAAAAATAAAACTTATAAATATACCTTATATAGGTATGGCCCTACAATATATTATTCAAATATAGCGTGATAGGTCCACTTTAAGTACGGTACTGTACTTAAGTAAATGTACCTAGTTAGTTTCGACCTCTCTCTTTATTTCTGTTTACTTTTCTCCGTCTGATCCTTCTTTTTAAAATGTGCTAATAAAACATAATGAAAAACTGACCATAAATCCGTTGCGCTGCATGTTTATAAGCCGTTAAATGATCTATGAAGTGACACAATCTGGGTGCTTGTTATTTACCTCCATTGGGGTGAAAGCGTAGTTTTCCAGGAAGGAAAGTCCGACGACCGGCACGAGCAGGAACTCAATGCGGAACGTGTCGTTATCAGAGTCGTACGTGCTCCTCAGGCGCATGTAGATCAGGTACACAGTGGCATAGGACAGAGCGAGGAACACCACCTGAGAGCAGAGAGGACATTAGAGTGCTGCTTTAATGTATGGATGCTGCTGCGGGGCTCTTTGATGGCATCTCCTGACTGACTGCTGCTTATTTTGCATAGTAACTAGATAAAGTATGAACCATCAGCTGTATGAGTAAGTGTGTGTGTGTGTGTGTGTGTGTGTGTGTGTGTGTGTGTGTGTGTGTGTGTGTGTGTGTGTGTGTGTGTGTGTGTGTGTGTGTGTGGCTTCAAACTAGTTCCATTTAGGCATGGCTTGTCTCACAGAGGACTAAAGGAATCACTTTAACTTTGTGACCTTACATGACCTTTTGCTAAAAAAAAGTGTGTTTTCATCGAGGTCAGATTGAGGGACAGAGTGTGTGTGAAACTTGCTGGGATGTAATTTACCTTCATGACGGTGTTGTAAGGAGAGATGAAGACAGTGAACAGGTCCAGGTACCTGGTGGTGAAGACGAGGGCAAACAGCACCTGGGACTTCCCAGAGATTCCTTCATAAAAAGAGAAAAAACAAGTTTAATCCCTGTCAGAAGCAGATGATCACTTTCTAATCCAGGGAAGATCACATATATGAGAAGACAGGGTTATGACTAACTTCGTTTTTATTATTTAACAGGGAAAAGAGACAGCTACACTGCAGCTAGGATGTGTTCAGGATACAGGATGCTGTTTAAAAGGTGGAAGAAGTTGCCACGTCGCTCCCACTCCTGCAGAAATTCTCAGCAAAATGCAAACCCCCACCATACTAAACTTAAAGGATATCTACAAATGAACTTATCACAGTTGTATGTATACTATATAATTGCATGCATGTTGTTAAATTGAAGCTGTTTAATCACATTAGTAATTTAAAATGCAGTGATGTGAATGTTAGCATACCAGCACAGGACTTTGATCTCCATATCTTCAGCAGCAGGATAATTATAGCCAACAGATGTGACACGTCACCGGCCAAACGAAAGATATTCATGTTTGCTATCCGTTTCGATAGAAAAGAAAAACTTTAATGCAACTCTTTGAAGGCCTAAAAATATCCTGCAGAGATGTGAAGCCACAGAAATCAGAACCGCGAGTTCAGTGGATAAAAAGGAAAAAAGCTAAGCTAACAGCTGCACAGTGAAGTCAGGATCTGCTCGGTAGCTTGTTGGCTCTTTATCTAAAAGCATGAAAGATAAACAGATAACAATGTTAGCTGAATCCACTCATAAAGTGAGTCTGCAGAGCTCTGGGGGGAAAGTTGTTCCAGAGGAGGTGACGTGGCTGACAGCTCGGACAGCGGTGAGCCTGCTTCAAGCTAGCTAGTAGCTAACAACTGTATTCTAGTTCCGGTTCTGATTTTCAAAGCAAAAGTCGCACTCGTCAAGACGCTGTTTTAAATGTTGAGAAATTCCCCACTATTGCTATAAAAGACCATAATAATACATTAAATTGGCCCTTTGAGTTATAAAATTGATCTTGGATGTTTATTACCAGGCAATACCTTACTTTTAAAATGATTACTGTTTTGAGGCAAAATCCCACAGCTTCCGGTGTTGTAGCTTGACTTTCTATGCTACTTTGGTCAATTCTCAGTAGATGACGACAGGCTGCAAGCAATCAGGAATAAGAACAGATCTATGGAACATAATTGTTCATTATAATAGATTTGGAGTGGGATTTCTTCTGTAAACAAAATTGGGAATTGTTTCTATTTTCCATGTTGATTTTAGTGTGGATTTATTGGGAAATGATAGACTGAAATGGAATTGTTTTGCATTTTCAAGCCCTCATGTTTTATGCATGTAATTAGTCTTAAAGTATTGATTCATATATGTATTTATTTCCTGTTTAATACTTTGAATACATTATGTCACATGCTTTGTGTGTGAACTGTGCTTTACAAATCCATTGCTTTATCTATCAGCTTTGGCAGATGAATCATAAACCAATGTGTACCTGTTTTCAGGTTGAGATTTTAATAAGCTTAATTAAATGTATTAAGATGCAAAAATCTGATCCTATTGTAATGAGTCAGACTTAAATACAAATACTGTATTTATTAGCAATCGTGTTTCACAGTAGATGATGAATAATTATCGGTGACAGACAGTATAATTATTAAATGACACATCCCACGCAGGGGAGGATGATTTTGGTTTTCTCTGGCTGGCTGATGTTTGTGTGAATCTCATTTAGATGAGATTAAAGGATTAATAACAGTAAGCATATATACGAGTTATTTTAGGAAAATGTTACACAATATAATATAACAATACAACAATACGATCGATACGAGTAAATGTCATTCAGATAACAACAAATCCTTATGTTTTGAAGATAAAAATGATCTTATCTCAAAACCGTTTGTTTTTCTGAGGGTTTTTAGGATTGTACGCATAGTTTTGAGAGTATTCAAATACTCTCTCGGTCTTCACTATCTTCTGGCATGGGCTCTCCACCTGCCTCCCCACAAATTCTGAATAACATTCACATCCTAAAACAACTCGCCCTCCATTTCTGATCCCTCTGTGTCTCCTCCAGTGGCGGTTCTAGACCAATTTGACTGGGGGGGCCAGGCTGGGGCCAGTTATTTTTCTGAGGGGGGCGCAATAAATGCAGATTTTTTTTAATGCTGAAGTGAAATGCATCGATCTGGTGCACTTTGAGCACAAAAGGAATTTATGGATACAGCTCTCAACACTCTAGGATC